CATCTCTGTTAGTCGATTCGTCCTCTTTTTCCTTCATCGTCTCTCTTTGTTCTTTCGACCCCTCCACCCCTGACCTTATTTTCCCCACTGCTCTGTACAATTGTAATTCTACCACGCATCGTCGCGAATCCTCTTGAACGATTGGGGGGCGGGGAGGGGATTGTTCGTAAGGAGAAGGGGAGTTACCCATCAACATTCATCGTGGATTATAATATTCGATGTCCGTCGATCAGGCATCAGAGTCGAATTAGCTAGTAGAAAATGGAAGCAGCCCGGGGACCATAATTATGCCACGCCTGATTTTTACATATTATGATCATCTGACAATTATGAGTTTTATTCACTCTTTATTTCTTACTTTTCTATTTTTCAATTTCTTAAGTTATTTTAGATTCTTATTTTTAATTAACATGCAACTTCTTTCATATTACGAATAATATATATAAATAATATATATAATTTATATATTACAAACAATATTAATATAAATAATATATAATTTAATTTATATAGATTTAAATATATAAAAAATAATTTGAGATAAAATCACTTAATAGCAAAATAATTACAATTCACATTTTTCGCATGTAAAATATTTAATATTATATTTAAAAGATATATTTATATATTTTTAAATTTATATAAATAAATATATAAATTTATATTTAAAACATTTAAGAATCGATTCAATCTTTCATATATATTTATATCAATTGAATTTTGTCTGAATTTTTTATCAATTGAATGTTACAGAAATATTTTATTATTTTATTTTAATTAAATATTGCTATTCATGAGTTACTATCGACAAAATTATCTATTGCAATATTTATTCAATTGTATTAATAAAAGTACAATTAAGAAGTAATTTTATAATATAAATAGAGAAGAATTTTATAATATAAATAAGAAACAATTTTCTTTATATTTCGTCGAAATAAATCGAATAATAATCACAGTATATTCCAGATATATTTCATCGAAAATAAATGCGCAAAATATTGAAAAAGATTTATATTCTCGCAAAGAACAGATTTTTTTATAAATAAAAAAAAATATTAATAATATATTTATGAATTTGAATTGATCGAAGATCTCTTATAGAAGAATATGAGTTTTCAAACGTTGCTTCGGAGATTTCGACATATCTCAAGAGTTCAGTTTTTCTCCACAAAACCGGACTTCACATCGGATAGATACAAAATAAAAAGAGGTCCGTATGCAAATATTTGCAATGATCATGTAGCATTTTTCAATAATTTGCTTGGACAAAATAGAGTTATCACAGATGCAGAAGAATGCGAGGGATATAATATAGATTATTCAAAAATTGTCAGAGGTAAGTGTGAGAATAGTGTTTTTTTTTTGAACTTTCGAATTTTCTTGTAGAAATTGTTTAAAGTCAAATTTATATTTTTATAATATTATAATACTATTATATATATTATGTATTTATAATAATATAATAATACCATAATACTAATAATTTCGATATTATGATTGCATATAATTATTTTATGATTAATAAAATAAATGAGTTGTTAAATTTTTGTGATGAATTGATAAATATGAATCAAAAAAAAAATAAATTAAGTAATTATAAATAAATAAATAAGTAAATTAGCATTGAATTAATTTATTTGCAGGAAAAAGCAAAATTGTATTGAAACCAAAAACTACCAACGAAGTGTCTGCCATATTAAAATATTGTAACGAAAATCGTTTAGCTGTATGTCCTCAGAGTGGAAATACGGGTCTTGTTGGCGGTAGCGTGCCAGTTTTTGATGAAATTATTATTTCCATGAAACTTATGAACAAAATTATTGAAACTAATGAACTAGCAGGTTAGTAAAAATTGAAATTAAAAACATTGATATATAAATGTTCAAAAGGAATGTGAGAAATTAAAGTTTTTGGAAAAAATATATATTATTGATGGAGCAATTTTAGAAAAATAGTTAGTTTGGAAAAATATTGTTTTATTTTATAATTATTCACTTTAGGAGTGCTGACTTGTGAAGCTGGCTGCGTGCTCGAAGACCTGGAAAATCATTTAGCGACAGTAGGTTTAATGATGCCGATTGATCTCGGCGCTAAAGGTAGTTGTCTGATTGGTGGCTGCGTGTCTACAAATGCCGGTGGTTTAAGACTTCTTCGTTATGGTAATCTTCATGGAAACATTTTGGGTCTCGAAGCCGTAAGTTTTTATTAATAAATCATCATGTTTTATCACATATGTAATTATGTTATTTTAGGTAAAAGCGAATGGAAATGTGATAGATTGCTTAAATACTCTAAAAAAAAACAACACCGGTTATCATCTGAAACATTTATTTATCGGATCTGAGGGAACGCTAGGAATTGTAACGAAAGTCGCGATTCAATGTCCACCTCTTCCTGCAGCTGTCAACGTTGCGTTTTTAGGTATTATAGATTCTCGATTATTTTTTTTATATTGCCATATAAAATTTCGTTATTTATTATATATTTATTGTAGGATTAAACAATTTTGACAAAGTATTGAAAGCGTTTCATCTAGCAAAAAAAAGAATTGGGAGAAATTCTATCTTCATTCGAAATGATGGACAAATTGTCATTAGATGTTTCCATTGAAGCTTTTGGTTTAAAAAAGTCCATTAACAACAAAAATCGACGGTCATGACTTTTATGTGTTGATGGAAACTTCTGGTAGCAATGTAAATCACGATGAAGAAAAGCTTACCTCTTTTGTGGAAAAGGCGCTTGCCGACAATATCATTGAAGACGGTACTCTGACTTCTGATCCTACCAAAGTTAAAGTTAGTATTTTTTTTTCACGTGATATATATTTAATTATTTTTCTTTTTCGCTTTTTTTTTTCTTTTTTTTTTTATTAGATTTTTCTTACATATATATATATATACATTGTATAGCAAACATTATTCTAAAAATAATTTATATTATATTATATTATATGTTTTTTTATTTTTAATTAGAAATTAATATTTTTGATTTTATATTTTAATATTTTCTGAAAAAAATTAAAAAAATATTTAATAAATATGAAAAAAATATAAATTTATCTTTTGCACAGAATATGTGGGCACTAAGGGAACGCATTAGCGAAGGAATATTACGAGAAGGTTATATTTTTAAATATGATATTTCGATACCTCTTCCTTGTTTCTATAAAGTAATTGAAGTACTCAGAGAACGTTTGCGTGATCCACGTATTATAAGAATCAGTGGTTACGGGCATTTAGGTACGTCTACAAAATCAAATATTATTAAAATATTTCTATTTTATTCTATTTAAAACTAAATAGTTTAAAAATTATTTTGTGCAATTTATATTTATAATTTATATTTTTATCTATTTTTTGTCTATTAGGCGATGGAAACATTCATGTACAAGTTTCGATACCATCATACGAACCTGATATAGCATCACAGTTAGAACCTTTCATTTTTGAATACGTATCTAAACTTCGTGGTAGTATAAGTGCTGAACATGGTATAGGATTCACAAAAACAAAGTATTTGCATATGAGTAGAACTTCTTCAGAAATTGAACTCATGCACGAGTTGAAAAAAATGATGGATCCAAATGGTATACTCAATCCGTATAAAGTATTGTACCCACTATAAACTTTCATAATAATTGGGACAATACTATATATTAACAATAACAGAAGTACAATCCAAGCATTCCTGTACTTGTGTTTAAATTTAATAATATATTAAGTAAATTTAATAATAAAATAAAAAAAATAAAAAGAATATATGTAAATAATATATCATAAATAATATATATATATATATGTAATATTAGTAATATTAATAGTAATATAATTTAAATAAAAAAGAGAAATGTAATATGTATCAGATAAAAAAATATTTATATAAAATTTATAATACTTTTGTTCATTATTTAATTCTCTTCATTATAATTATTATTTTTATATATTTTTATTTATTATTTATTAATTTTATTCATTTATTTTTTATGTTTTTTTTAATCATACAAAAATAATTAAGGATTTTTTATTTTTGTCTTAAAAAAATAATTTTATTAAAAAGATTTTATTTTCGCGCTTATAAATGTGCGCATGCTCAGAAAGGACATATGAATTCGCATTTACCATTGAATGGTAAAGAAAAAGATTACATTCTGTTATATCGATTCTATAATTTTTATAATTATATTGGCAATGAATACTCATATGTGATCAGAGAGTTCACTACCGTCCAGTCAACCAATATCTTTTAATCGATACTTATTTTTAGATAAAAAATCGAATTCTTTATACATAAATCTATAAATTCTGAAATAATAATATGGTTTAAATTTATTTATCATTAATTACAAATATTTACAAATAAAAGTAAAATCAAATATTATTAATTTGAAATTTGATAAAATTTTTTTTAAATTATTATAATTATTAGAATAAGAAATATTTATAAAAATATTATAAATAATAATGACAATATAATGTAATGAATATAATATAATATAATTAAAAAAAATTATTTTTCTTATAAATTAAATTAAACAAATATTTATTATATGTAAAGATATAAATTTTAAAGTTATTCAAAATAACTTAAAATAATTAAAATAATTTATAAAAAGTTATTAAAATAACTAACTTATTATATATTATATAATTTAACTATTAAACTAGCTAATCGGAAATATATTAAAATATAATTAAACATTATCTATAATTAAATATCATATGTGTTAATATATAATGAAAAATAAATATTAAATATATATATAGAAAAATTATATAAATAAATTATATAAAGATAAATAAATATATAGAATCAAATGTATGTATTTTAAATCGCATTAAAAATATCGAAAGAAATTACTCGAATTGATGAGAATCGTCATAGGATTGTATAATCGCAAGAAAACATCGATTGGTCGCAATGCGATTGCTAGTAAATTCGAGTAGGAGTTTCGAGATTCGAGAAAATTCGAAACGATATACATATGCACATAGTTATCTCGAACAATCTCGAAAAGCGCGCCATATCAAATATAAATACGTGACAGGTAGTACTGCGCAGTCAGTTAAAAAGTGCAACTCAAAGTGAACGTTTGTATAACGTTTGAAGTAATTATCTACCAAACAATATTATACAATATAAACAATTATTTCATTTGTAAAACAAATTAAAAAATTTTAATAATAAAAGGTATGTATTTTAATTTTATGTAATTTTTTTTAAGAATTTATTAAGAATTTTTAAAGCAAAATTTTATCAGTAATACATTTTCTTTTATTTTTATTTTATTATTTTTAATTGAATATTAATTTCATTTAAATCTTTATTATTTAAATCTTTATTATTTATTTTTACAATTAAAAGAAAATTTCGTAATTAATACGTATCAATATAATATTGGTATAATGTTTTACGAATATGTTTCATGTATCTAAGAATAGACATTTGAAATGCGTAAAAGCATAATACTATGCATCTCATATTGCACAGTTTGTATAATTATTTTATATGTGATGTGAATGTCAAATGTTTTGAATAATATATTTTTTTTTAAAAATAATATAATAAAGATATTAAATAAAGATTTTATTCTTATATTAACGTTATCGACAATGTCAACACTTTTTTTTATATATATATTAATTTCAAATTCACTATTATTATTTCATCATTATTTTTTCTATTGAATTGATTTTTTGTAGTGTACATTTATATTATTTAGTATAATATATTAATCTGAAATTTTTGTTAATATGTATCAGGAATTAATTCTTTTACATATTAAATTCTTACAGATTAACTGTATTAATATGGCACTAGTAACAAGAGATCTCTTCCGTAATTGGTGGGAAGATATGGACCGTTATCATCGAGAATTAGAAGAACATTTTAAACGTCTTAGTACTAGAGATGATTTTTGGAAACTACCACCAATGCCATCCTTCAATGAATTTTTCCAACCATGGAGAAATATGATGGAACAATTGGAACATCAAGTTGGAGGTTCGACTACTATTGAACGAGATCAAAACAAATATCAGGTAATTGTCGATGTGCAACAATTTGCACCAGAGGAAATCACCGTCAGAACGGATGATAAATGTATTACCATTGAGGGGAAACACGAAGAGAAGAAAGATGAACATGGTTACGTATCGAGGCATTTTGTGCGTCGATATGTGCTTCCACAAGGATATGATATTGGCCACGTTAAACCGAGTTTGTCATCTGATGGTATTCTTACTATTACTGCTCCAAGATTAGCTCTGCCAGCACCTGGAGAAAGAATTATACCGATCGAACGAAGTAATGCACCAGCTATTAAAGCAGCATAATTTGTAAATAATATCATCTAATAGACTCTTATATATTTAAAATTCATTACATACAGTATTTTATAACTTTTTTTTTCGTATACTTTGAAATTGTTTGTTTATATTGATTTAATTGTCAATAACAAATAGTCATATATATATGTGGAACTGATAATTTAATTGTTTTAATTTCTTAGATATATAAGATCATATTATAAATATGTTCAAAAAATTTAAGATATTGAAATTTGATCATTGCACTAAACCATTCTTTTTATTTGCGTTACGCTATTAAAATTGTTTAACATAAATATTTCTGATATTGTATGATGCAATTTTGTAAAATTCAATTATACAATATTTTATTATTATCATTATATTATAAACATACGTTATTGTAAGTACTTTTTATTAGCTTTATTTTTCAATAAATAAAGATTAAATATTAAAATGATATATTTTTTTAAAACTAATTTATAACAAAATATATTTAAAAAATATATTTTAATAATATTTACAAAACACATAATGCGCTGAGCAATATATTTATCAAGATTTATTTTTTGTTAAATATGCAACTTTATGTAATCTTAATATTAATAAAAAAGATAGCATTTTCGTAATTAAATAATCTAAATTCTAAATAATATATTTAAATAATTATTTATGTATTATACATAATATGTTCAATTTTTATGATGGACCTCGATTTTCTTCGCTTTCTGAAAATGGTTGTTCATCTTGATCCTGAGGTGATATTAATTCTAGATTTGTCTCTTCCAAAGGAATCATACCTTGTCTAGCCTTTTCTTCTATACTAGGAATATATTCATAAATTTGTTTTTCAACATCTACTTTATTTAAAAAAATTTGTAAACGTCTTTTAAGCGGTCCCTCGATCGCATCCATTATTTGATATCTATAAAAAAAATAATTTTTTCTTATATAACATAATAATAAGAACACATTTCTTATATTATGAATCAATATGTAAAGTTATTGATTACAGAAGTAAAAAAACATTAAGATCGAACCTTAAAAGGTTTGGTAATATATTAATGCTTGCTTCAACTAAATAATCAATAGTACCAGCTCCATGAATTCTTGTTTGGATATTACCCAATTCAAGTTCAAGTTCTTCCATACTTGGCCTTTTACGAGTATCTAAAGGTTGGCTTAAATTTACCTGAGCTCTGAAATATTGTATAGTAAAGGAAACTGTACCAGCCCTAGACAAAAAGCCACCGATTACGCTTATTTCCCAATGTGTTTTTCCTTCAAGCTCTTGAGTGCCAGCATCAACTGTTGCATATACCTTTAAATGGAAACAAAAAAAAGAATATGTTATGTATTTAGAAAATGTGTTATGTAATATAATGTTTACAAGTAGATGACAAAATAGGCAACAATTGTAAATTGTGATTAAAATTCATTAGTTAGTCTATTTTTTATTCATAATGTATATGACGTAATTACTAATGTAATTATGATAATCAGTAGATTATCTTGTATTAATGTATATTGCATGTATATGTCGTAAGCGATCATAATAGAAAAAACTTGAAATTAAATAAATATGTTTTGAAAATAATTAAAAATAAATTAATCACCGTTCCATTTTTTATACCCAAAGTAACATTTCCCATTCGATAAATGCTTGCCAGACCAGTGATCCAAGTATGAGTCGATGTCACCGTAAATATACCAACAGTTTGACTGTAGTCATTCACTTTGAATGGATCGTAGCCCATTTGAGATATATACTTACGGAGTTCGGCTATTGCCATATCAAAAGGCGATATAGAATTCGGAAAATATTGCGGTAATTGTGAAATTTGTTTATTAGCTATACCCCTAAAAAATAAGACAATTTTCAAGTGATTTTTAAGTGATTATTATATATAATAATGTCAGATTAAATGATTTCTACCGTGCTTTAGTATTTAGTTCCTTCAATATGAAAGGTTTAATACTATCGAAAATAAAGGAGCCTACAGAATTAATCGTACTTTGTAATACAGAACCCAAGAAACCCAAATTTTTGAAATCCATGGCTATATTTTCGAATGTCAAATCCATATCGATATTTTGTGCTTGTAATTTACCATCGCTAGCAACTTCGAGTCTCCCAATCCCTTTTACATTCACTCCCATCAATTTCATTGTAAAATTACCAGCTGATCGAGACAACCAAGAAGATAAAGTATAGAATCCACGAATATCCAAACTTTCTATATTTAATGTCACTGAAACCTTCGAGAAATATGTTAGAATAAAAATTAATTTTAATATTTAGATCTTATACGATTATAATAACATTTAATAAAATATCTTATGTGGATCAATTTAACAAAGAATCTAAAATCTAAAAGTGATTATATGATTATAATTAATCATTGATGCGAAACGATTCTATATTATAAAATTAATATATTCATATAATTAACAATATCTTTTTTTGTAACGATAGATATTTTTAAACATTAAAATAATACATATCTTTTTAAAGAAATATTGACGCATAATTGTTCTTTAAATAACAAATTTTATAAACTAATTGATGGAAATAAGTTTAAGAAAAAAATATTTATTTTTTTTTCTGATTTCAATTATATTGAAATTATATTGATTAATGATTTCAATTTGCAAATTTAAGAATTTTATATTAAATATATAAAAAATTCAAATGTTGAAAATATCTCACTTGCATCAATGCTAATTCTGATTCTGCATTTACTATCCGGAATTTGGATAAACCATAAATGTTCATTTGTTTAAAATTCATGGTATACATAGAAAATGAATACTTCATATCCGGTGCTGACATAGGATCCGGTATTGGCGCTCCAGGTAATCCTACTGGATCACTTTGCTGATAATGCTTCAAAATCGCGCGAACATGATCTTCAAGTCGTTTCTCGCCAAGTGCTATTTGTGCTGCGGTATCATTTTTTACTGGAAAATATTATCATTTGAATATTAAATTAATAATATTATTAAATATATTATTTATTAAATATTATTGTTATATAAGAAAAATTACATTTTATTATATGAAAAAATCATTAATAATATAATTAATGGTATTAATTGTACATTTCCATTGAATTAAAAATCAATCACAACATAATTTTATAACATTATATCATAGAAGTTTTAATTTAAAGAGAAATTTCAATTTAAGCAAATATAAAATTACTTACCGGTAGAAATTTTGATATCACATTGATTGATCTTGATAAAATAAAAAAGAACAAAAAATAATTTTAAAAGCTTCATTTCCAGTTTTATGGATTGCAATAAGAAATCACTATGATCTATAAAAGAGACCACGCATTCGACTGAGAGGTGCGTCAGTGAATTTAGTGGAACGATATCTCTCGGGTCATTGAAGGGGCGAGGGTCAACCGCTTTATCTAATTCCCCTTGCCTCTCACTTATTCTTGTGTTGTTTCCTCCTTAACCTCCCCTTAATTCTATACCACTTTAATAATACATATATATTAACGTATATATAATACATATATTTTATTTGTATTGTAAACATAAGTAAATTTTGATTCCAAAAAAAAAAAAAAATACAATTAAACATTCTGCGAATTTATTTGAAAAGAATCGATGCTTGAAATGCGTATAAAAAATCTTATTTCAAAAATAGAAATGAAGTAATAGTAATAAATATAAATTATTCATTTGTAATTATTTGAATTTATTTCTCTTTTTTTATTTTAATTCATACTTATGATTAATTTAAGAATTATATTTTGAAAAATTATTTTGTTTGAATTTTGTATATAAAATGCAAATGCTTCTAGCATGATTTATGGATTTTAAAAGAATAATAAAAGGATTATTAGGATTATTAGGATATTTGTTCTTATTATTAACAAAAATTTTATTATTATTAATAAAAAGTTAGGAATAATCTATGAAAAAATAATAAACGAGAATAGAGATATAAATAAAAATTCAAAACAATTAAGATTCAAGAATAATAATGAAATTATTTAATTTATAATCATATTTATCTTATATTATTTGTTTTTTCTATTTTATAATTAAAAAAATAAATAAAAAAAATTCTTTTTTAACTTTGTATTATGTCTTTTCAAGTCTTTAAATTTAATTATTTTATAAGTAGAATTTTGTTTATTATTTATTTATCTTGTTAGATATTTTATAAATTAAAATTGATAATTTATTGTTTATTTATCCGATCATTTCCATTTGCCCAATCAAGTCAAATCAAATCATAAGAAGTATGAAGTTAGTTGTTAATGTTTTTTTTATATCCAATGATATTAGATTTGATTGATTTTGGAACATTTCAGTTGGTATTACTAGTCAGTGTTGCATCGTATTTGTAGTTTTGAACAAGTTTGAATTTATAGAATTTAACGTACTATTCCATTGTTGTGTATCGCTTTCTGTTTTTATGCGTTTATTATATATTCTTATTAATTAATATGAGTATTATCAATGAGCAATTAATTAATCATGAAAAAGGTAAGATTAATGATTAGTTTGGATATTTAACTTTTATTCTGCATTTTATCTAAGATATGGTATATTGAAAGTTTGATGTTACATGAATGTTATATGAAATATTAAATATTAATATAGAATATATATTTAGATTTTCATTATTTAGAAAATAAAGTTTTACAGGAACAGATATTCGTAAATCAGCAGAGGAAATGGATGAGCAGCGTCATAAGACAGTTGCTTATGAATATCTCTGTCATTTGGAGGAAGCTAAAAAGTAAATATCTAAGTTTATCATAAACTAATATCATTCTTTTTAATTATCATTTTTTAATATTTTCTACATCTTATAGATGGATGGAAGCTTGTCTTAGAGAAACACTTCCATCAACAACTGAATTAGAAGAAAATTTAAGAAATGGAGTATATTTAGCTAAACTTGCTCATTTTATGGCACCTGAATCTTTGCCTATTCACAAAATATATGATCCTGAACAAAAACGTTATACAGCAATTGGTTTACAATTTAGACATACAGATAATATTAATTATTTTCTAAAAGCCTTAAAATCTATGCAATTACCATTAGTATGTGTTTGCAATATGAACAATAAAATATTTTCTATTTGTTTAAATTGTTGAAAGTAATAAAATTAATTTTCTAATAGACTTTTCAACCAGAAACAACAGATATCTATGATAAAAAAAATATGCCTCGTGTAATATATTGTATTCATGCTCTGAGTACTCATTTATTTAAGCTGGGTAAAGCTCCACAAATTCAAGATTTATATGGAAAAGTGAATTTTACTGGTACCAGTTTCATTTTATTATACTATATAAAAATATTTAGATTAATTATAATTGTACCATTTTATTCTCTTTAGAGGAAGAAATAAATATGGTCAGTAATGAATTAAAAAAATATGGAATACAAATGCCTTCATTTCAAAAAATTGGTGGTTT